GGAATCACCAAATAAACAAAAAAAAACAAGAGTCAAATCGACCCCATGTGCATGAACTTGTCAAAAAAAACATATAATACTAATAATATCGTAATCATCAACTTAACAACAACAAAAAAAAAAGAAAATCATAAGCTCAAGCCATACCCAAATAGAAAGTCTTGGCATACTCAGCACAAACTTCACCACAACGATCATACGCTTCATTCAGCAGATCCCAATCAGTAAACCCATCAGTTTTTTCACTTCTTTTCTCCAAATCAAGAGCTTTTCTGCCCCTTTGCTCTTTAACCAAAGCAGCCTGCTTTAAAACCACATCGTAAACTCTCTGTTCTGAAGATCTAACTGGGTTAGCCACTGCACCCGAGATAGCTGAAACCCTCTTGAAAGACCTCTTCTTTGGCTTGTTCACACTTCTGGGTATCAAGCTAAGCAAAGCAGTGGCATTCCCTTTGGGACTTACCACCCAAAGAAGAACACCAGCCATGGATGTTGGATGTTCAAGAAGAAGATGAAAAATAAAGAGAAAAAACTATGCTTTTCCTTTGATTTTGAACCGGTCAATGAAGATGAAGATAAGTGAATATGAAAGCAGCGAATGGGGATGAAGATGAAGATGAAACGGGCACCACTTTTCTTTATCTTAATGCTTCCAAAGACACAGGATCTCCCACGTCGTCATCTTACAAAAAAAGGCAAAAGGGAGTCTCACAAGTTCATTGTCTCTTTCTTTTATCTTTCTCAAGCTAATTCTGTGGACACCATTTCTTCATTCGTTTTTTTTTTCCCAATAAAAATGGGAAGTTTTACGGTGCGGCAGATTTTATATACGATTAAAAAATATTATTGATTTTGTTATTATTTTAAATAATAAAATTGATAAAAAATATTTAAAAATATTATTATTTTTTATTGATTTTGATGTTATTATTATTTATTGATATAGGTAAATGTAGTAAAAAATTCGAATGTTTTAGATAAAGCATTATCTAAAATATTATTTTTTACCGGATTTTTTTAATCACGTTTATTTATATCGATAATTAAAACGGTAGAAATAATAATGTTTTCGGTCATTTTTTATCGATTTTGTTATTTAAATAATAACAAAACATGTAACACTTTTTTAGCCGTATATGAAGTCTGCCGCACGTGAGTATTTTCCATAAAAAATGTTTTAAAGAGAAAATTAACATTTTCGATTACGTTCAATCAGAAATAATATATTTTTATAATATTTTTAATCCCGTCAATTCTATGTTATTCTTTAATCTTAAATGAACTTTTCTGATTATTTTTTATAATATTTTCAGTCGAGTCTCTTCTATGTTATTCCCTAGCCTTAAATTAGATTATCGTCTCTTATACTTTTCTTTTTTAACTCTATTTATTTTGTGTTTGTTTTATAATTCATATAAGTTTATAGTTATTTTTAAATATCGTTTTCAAGGTTTGAATCTATTATAAAGTGTGATGTTGTTGAATTCATTGACTGACATCATCAGTAAAATATAATGTTATTTTCCCTCGAAAATCTAAGTTCAAACAGTTACGTATGTAGAACGAGTGTGTCATCAACATATTAAAGAAAATTATGAACACATATTCCCTTATAATCACTAAAGACTAACAAAAAAGAACAAGTACAATACAATCCGATGTGTATTTACCGTTGATAAAATAAGTTTGAATTCGAAAAATAATAAATTTAAACTCGTAACGATTCGAATCGAATCAGCTCGAATTTGAAATGGAAAGGTTAAATCCCAAGCAAGAATTTGATAATGTAAAGTAATTGGTTGGGGGCTGCCATTTCCATAAAGCACCATGGATAATATTGTTTAGTTTCAAATAGTGCATTGCATTATGTAGAGTGGACTCTTTTTATAATAATTTCACTATAGCTTCAAAAAGTGTAGATTGCAAAATGGCCACTAATATTTTCTAATTATTATCGGTATAATCTGAATTTGGTCCTTAAGGTTTACATTTTATTGTAAATTTGATAGCTAGAAATTAGGATCTCAATTGCACTTTCCACATACTCACACCCTGGGATGGACCTAGGCAGGGGACGATCGCCTCCTAAAAAGTTTAAATTACTATATATTTTAGATTTTATCTATGTATTTTCTATTGAAAACTTGTTTTCGCCCCCTGAAATTTTATAACTTCAAGTTCGCCCCCTAACATAAAATCATGCGTCCGTCCCTTTAATTACATCCACATTTTTTTTGTTCAAGAGTGAACCACAAATTAATAAAAACAAATATAAAGTTAGGTTTTCCACCCAACGTGGTACTTTTTTTGTGTCTATTTCTTGTGTTTTTATCTCTTTAAATAAATATATAAGGTTTTAAAAAAAATGGAAAATCCAACTTATCAATACCTTAAATTTTGGTTCAAACTATTGGATCAAGTGGTGTGGCATGATTTTATGTTTACTCACCAAATGAGGACTCCATAATGAATTTATCTTTTGGGTAAATTATGAGTTTAATATCTAAATTATCAGTTTTGGTCTGTTTTAATACTTAAACTTTCAATTTTTTAAATCATACCTAACATTTAGTTTTTGTTACATTTTTGTATTTCGCCGTTAAAAACTTAATGACAATGTATTGTTATGGGTAAATTACATCATTTATCACACAACTATGTTTTCACTCCTATTTTGGTACTAAATTTTTAAAAAAATCAATTTAACTACTCAACTTTCAAGTTGCTCCTATTTTAATCACTCTAATTTATTTTTTAATATTTTTGTGACACTTTTATTTTTATTATCATTTTTATTAATATATAATTAAAAATAAAAAATTACATTTGAAAGTTAGAGTGATTAAATTAGGAGTAATTTGAAAGTTAACTAATTAAATTTAAAAAATAAACTTTTGTGACCAAAATAGGAGTAAGAAGATAGTTGAGTGATGGTTCATTAACACCAACTCTCGAGTTGCTCTCATCATACTTCCTCATTGGTTCACTCTTGAACTAATACGGTAGCTTACTCGTCTTTGATATAGGTGTTCATGTAGTAATCGATTTCTTCTATCGTACTATTCACATCGATCATCATCTCACTCACCGGAACATCTTTTGGAATAATCTTTCGTTCATCATTTCTCAATATGTGTTCGATTGAAGATACTTGGAAGTATTACGTCTAGTATGGTTACTTCAGCCGTAACACTTCTAAGCGTTTGTATAGGCACCTTTTTTCATTTAAGTCCCTCACGGACTAAGTCCCACCATTACTAGTCATCCTTAGCTCTTACGAACCTTAACAAAGTTGAATCTTACCATCTGATATGAGTAGTATCGATACCTTACATTCACTATAGATACTCCTATGTCAAGTATTGATACCCCTTTGAGTATTGGTACCAAAACGGCTACTGGATCGCAAAAATTACTCCAATATCGATACTATTACCCTCAATATCACTACCAGGGCTGCAATATTGATACCACTCCTTAGATTATCGATACTCTCTGTATAAAATGCCTAAAAATCATCTTAGTTCATCTAGCATCGGTATTGTTAATCCAATATTGATACCCTAACCTAGAAATAGGCTTGAAAACCCTAAAAATCCTCACAAACACTTTAGGGAGTTATTTAGGGTTATTTAGCACTATAAAAACACAATCTTTACACCAAAAATGTCATCTAATACAAGAGTCAAACAAAACCCCCAAATATACTCAAACACCGAAATCCCCAACAAGACATTGCATTTAGGAAATTCATAACATAACAAAGGATTCAAAATACACTAACTTAGCTAGAGAATTCGAAATGAAACTCCTTTATTCAACCACACTCTTTTTTTCTTATCTTCCACTTGAATTTGAGTACTCAACTCCATAACCTCTTGCCAAATACGAAATGAATGGGTTTCTAAACAACAAGGACATTGATGGAGGATTTAAAGATGAATTTAAAGTTAAAAAAAAAGTATAAAAAGGCTAGAGAAACTTACCTTTAGATAGAACACTTAGAGGGGAAGGACGAGAAGGAAAATGAGAAGAAGAAGAATGAATGAAGATAAGGAGATGAACGAGAATAAAAAACCATCATTTTTTCACAACTGGGAGAATCACACTTTTGGTCTTTCGCATTTTGACTTATATCCAAAAATCCCCTTTTTATAATCTCTTTGGGCCCGATTCCAAACCTAATTAAAATCTTGTTCGGCCTTACGATTTTAATTACGACTCCACGAGGTCCATATACCTCTTGGGTAGGCCCGAAACTACTAATTCAAAATTTGGGTGTTACAACTCTCCATTCCTTGAAAGAAATTTTATCCTTGAAATTCACTTTGATAAAATGCAAACATATCTGTAGGTCAAACACTTAAAAGCCTTGAAGCACCTAAAATCTTATCTGATCATCAAGGATGTTACCTATGTTGAACCTTACACAAACTTTCGAGAGGGATAAAGCCAAAGAATCTTATTCTTGTTGTCTAACTCTAAATGCTCAGAACATTTCATAAATACAACACTTATCCACGACTCGTCTGCCTTCACTAAACCTTTCACAAGCTGAGTCTACTCAATTGAGTTCACGTATTACACAACTCTATAAATATCTTTAGCTTGCTAAACTTTGGTAACTCGTCATACTACACATCGGGATCCTACAGACACTTTACTCACCAGATCGTGCATGAAGATAATCACAGTTGAATATCAGTTACTTGCTTAAGAAAACTAACAAAACCTAGCTCTCCTAGAGAGCACGCATCACAAAGCAACAGTCCCTCAGAACCGCACTCTGACTAAGGGTTCTATGACTTTATGTTCGTAGCCTCAAATGTTTACTGCTCCTCATACTATTGCTATTTTTTACGTAAAAAGACGATTTTAAGATATATAAATAATTATCTCAACAAAGTAAAAGGTTAAAAAGGACTATTCCATTGTCCCCTTTATCTCTATCTCTTCTGCTATAAATTATTGCAATCGCAAATCTTGTTCTGCTCCTCATTCAATCTCAAATCTCAATTTGGGATTGAAATTTTCCATTCCTTGGGCGATTTTCTGAAGGAATTTTCTCATTTGGATACTAAGAAACACCTGACCTTGGGGAAGGTTTGTTGCTTTTTGAGGTTTTATGAGGTGGGTTTGATCTGGATTTACAGTTTGGATCGAAGGAAAATTGATAGAGATTCAATTTTCAATTGTTGGGTTTCTTTTGTTCTTTTCGATTTTTGGATTTAAAATTCTGGGTTTGATTTGAAATGGTCCATTTCCATAACTCAATCTCAGTCTGCAACTCCGATGACCAGGCTTCCTCAGCTACAATCATGGCGAATTCTTTTGATTCAGATGATTTTCCGATGAACCCCAAATCGTCATCGTCATCGAGGAACAATTTTCCCAAGAAACAAAAGGTACCCAATTCATCAAGTTGTTTAGAAATTCCGTTTTGTGAAGGATCAAGATCTGCTGCCATTGATGTGTTCATCTTAATTGCTGTGATTGCTGCTTGTGGATTCTTGTTGTTCCCAACTTTAAAGTGTTTATCTTTGAAAATGATCGAATTCATCGAACCCTTCTTTTATATGTTTAAAGAGGAAATCATGAGATCTCCATTGATATATGCATCCATAGGATTAGGTTTTTGTTGTGCTGCAATAGCTACTTGGATTTTGCTTCTGTGTACAACTAGGAAATGCAGGAACCCTAATTGTAAAGGTCTTAGGAAGGCGGCCGAATTCGACATACAATTAGAAACCGAGGAGTGTATTAAGAACTCCAACACTTTGGTTAAAGATGGTGCTAAAAGAGGACTTTTCGAGTTGCCGCCGGATCATCACAGGGAATTGGAAGCCGAGTTAAAGAAGATGGCACCGATTAATGGGAGAGCAGTGCTCGTTTTTCAAGCTAGGTGTGGATGTCCTGTCGGCAGATTGGAGGTTCCGGGGCCAAAGAAGCAAAGAAAGAACAAGAAGTAGGATTTCGGGATATGATAGAGATGAATTAAAGCAGTAGAGAAAGTAGTCATAATGCAGAGAGGAGTGCCTTCTCTGGTTAGTTTAGCCGAAAACTATGTTGTCTTTAAATAAGCTCTCAATAAGTTGTAAGGATTACATATAGTTGATTATAGTGGAGAATATAAGAATATTTTCTTTCATTTGTTTAATCACTTCTTTATGATATTTTTACATCTTAAAGCTTTTGTGATCATTGAAATTCGAAGCTTTTTCAATATTAAACTAACGTGTTACCTTGAACTATTCGATATTGATGATTGCTTTCTTTGATATGTTGCTTGTTAATACTTCAAGCTTTATCACTTATCTTTGATGTTCTAATATTGTGTCACTGCCAAGGGATATAGTTTTCGGAAGACATGCTGAACTCATTTGATCGATACCTTCATCGCATTAGAAACCATAAATCTGCATACATTTTTTAGCTTCATAGTCGTATTTCACAAATAAACAATTGCTCGATCTAGTTATTCTGAGAATTATTGCTTGCTCCGATATATCCTGAAGTTAAATGTCTCTTCTAGAAGATATACATTGAATCATTGATGATAGAAGATCTTGTTTCCCAAGGAACCTTGTTTGACAAAGCTAAGTTTGTCTTATGAAGTTAACTTGTTCGACAAGTAAGGACTTTATAGAAGGTTTCTTGTTTGAAAAGGAATATTTGATTAGCCACTTTATGGGACAAACTTTATAACAATTAAAGAGGCTCAAGTAAAGAAGACTTGAGTCTCAAGCTTCTTTAACCTGTTATCTTCCCAATATTCTTGTTCAATTATGTAATATCTAGTGAATATGCACATTATGTTTGCTAAGTCGTAGATTACTGTTAATTATCGATTATTTGGTATGATTTCGATCTTGTTTATTTAGCAAATATGTTTCTGTTCGAACAATTCGATGGATTTGCATAGCGCAAATATGCTTTTATTTCTGCTGTGTTATATCATATTGCATATTCACTAAAATGGTTTTGGAGGCTAAATCCTTGAATCTTCAAAGCAGGAAAGGTAGATATTTGGTGAATTTGGTTGTGTATTTCTCATTGAACTCTAGAATTTTCGTTACTCGAACTTGGAGAAACGTTTCGGGTATGGTTGTTGTAAATTATGTTTTTCTATGTATTTGGAGGATCATATTCATGTTTCGGGTATGATTATACACAATGTTTTTAGATTTATTTGGACATCGTACTCGTAGTGACCTATTCGACAGTCGGTCCAAATAATCTCTCGACGTAAATTTAGACGAATCAACGACTCTCTGACCAAATCAGAAGTGAATCATCAACCGTCGACAAAATCTCTCTTTTTCTTACCTTTTAAGCCAGTATGAACCACCATCCTACATGTTTTTCATCAACAATTGGAAAGAAAGAAAGAATGGGAAAAAAACCTAGTTGTCACAACTTTTAAAAGTTTCATTTTAGTACATCGACGTTAAATCTACAATTTTTATGGGTAAATTACATCATTATCCCTCAACTATCTTCTAACTCCTATTTTGGTACTAAAGTTTAAAAATTTCAATTTAACCACTCAACTTTCAAATTTCTCCTATTTTAACCACTGTAATTTATTTTATTAATAATTTTGTAACATGAGATTTTTATTTTATTTTATTAATATATAATTAAAAAAATTGAAAGTTAGAGTGATTAAGTTAGGAATAATTTGAAAGTCAAGTAATTAAATTAAAAAAGGGTAAATTACACATGTATTCATTGAACTTTACTCTCTCTCCTATTTCACTCACTATACTTTCAATTTTTTCAATTTACTCACTGAACTTTATATATTAAACTTTTTTTGTCACTCAACTGTAAACTCAGTAACGGGGTGCTTATGTGGCTTGTTTTAATAATAAATTATGTCACACGTTTACTCACTGAACTTTACCCTCTCTACTATTTCACTAAATGTACTTTTAATATTTTTCAATTTTTATTTAGCAACGTCATAACGCCGTTAGAAATTTAACGGTCGAGTGACTAAAAAAGTTCAATGTCTAAATTTTAGTGAGTAAATTAAAAAATTGAAAGTACGGTGAGTGAAATAGGAGAGAGAGTAAAGTTTAGTAAGTGTGTAATATACCCTTAAAAAAGTATACTTTAGTGATTAAAATTGGAGTGAGAAGATTGTTAAGTGATGAATGATGCAATTTACCAAAAAAAAAAGTGCCACGTGCAAATCACCCGTTAAGTTTTTAACGACGAGATAGTAAAATGAAATAAAAATTAAATATTAGCTATGGTTTTCAAAAAATTAAAAGTTTTGATACTAAAACTGATAATTTAAGTACTAAACACATAATTTATCATTTATTTTAATATGTGCTATTAGAGGCCCAATTTTTATGTTCACCGTCGATCCACCAAAATCTCGTAAACGAACTAACCCGTAGTGATACGATTTAGTAGATAACGAACTGACTGTTTAGAATTTCACTTCTACCATACTTCCTTAGATTAAGAGATAATTATACTTTCACTTAAACTCTCTTAGGTTAAGAGATAACTACACTATATATTTCATCTGTTCACCCGAACAACTTGAAATTTTTTTAATTGCTTGTGGATCCTTTGAAATATGATTGAATTCATTGAACCTGTTTTTCGTATGTTTAAAGATCAAATCACGAGAACTCCATTGATGTATGCGTCCATGGCATTAGGCTTTTCATGTGCTGCAGTGGCTACTTGGATCTTGCATCTGTGTACGACCACTAGGAAGTGCAGGAACCCTGATTGTAAAGGTCTCATGAAGGCAGGCGAGTTCGACATCGAATTAGAATCTGAGGGATGTATCGAGAACTCCGACACTTTGGTTGATGATGGTGGTGGTGAGGGAGGACTCGTCGAGTTGCCGCCCGATCGTCACCGGGAACTGGAGGCCGAGTTGAGGGAGATGGCACCGAGCAACGGAAGAGCCGTACTCTTGTTTCGAGCTCGGTGTGGATGTCCGGCCGGGAGATTGGAGGTTCCGGGACCGAAGAAGCAAAGAAAGAACAAGTAGGGTTTTGGGATATGGTTAGTTTGTTCTAAAACTATGTTTTCTTTAAACAAGCTCTAATGGCAATAAGTTGTAAGCACATTTCTTATTTATTTAGCCAATATTTTTCTTATTCAAACAATTTGATGGATTAGCATAGTGATTCAGAGATGAATTGATAAGTTTTGACTACGATCGTAATCTCTGAAAATTTTGAATTTCAATTAACATATCATTTGAGATTATGAGAAGCGTACAGCTAGGACGATCGTTAATTTTATAATAGAAAATGATGAGTTTGGAACATAATGAATAATTGAGTGACCATTTTGTAACTTTTAATAATTGAGAGACTAAACAAAGCAACTCCCTATAATCAAGAGACTATTCTGTAACTTTTAACAGTCAATAAACTCAATAAAATATTATCCTATAACCGGAGGACTATTTATGTACTTTACCCTTATAGTATTTATTATTTAACTTTTATCAAATTATCCATTAAAAACATTAACCCTAAACTTCAAACCCTGAACATGAAGGTAATAAAAATTGCATGATCAAGATTTAAACTCCCTTAGAAACAAAAATGTCCATTTCATAATACGATCGGTGTTCGATATCCAAAATTGTATCACGCAACATCACACGAAAAAGATAATACGAACACGAACACGAACACGATAAGAGTACAACAATTTTCGGCTTTATTTTTCACCCGAAAATATTTGTGAAAATCATTCCCAGGTCTCACCATTGGTATTTGGCAGCAACAAGAACTTCCTCGTACTTCTCGGCAGCATTGTCCCAGCTGAGATCTTGCTTCATTCCCCTTATCTGCAGCCCTTCCCAGCTTGTTTTATACTCCCTGTGTGTCAACAAACAATTCCCTAGCGCATGTATCAACTTGTTCGTTTCGGCGCGATCGAACGTCCACCCGAGCCCGGACTCTTGGAACGGATCGAATTGCTGCACCGTGTCCCTCAATCCGCCGACCGCGTGGACAACCGGGATCGTTCCATAGCTCATAGCATACAGCTGGTTTAGTCCACAGGGTTCGAATCTCGACGGCATGAGTAAAATATCGGCACCGGCCGTTATACGGTGAGCCATCTTTACCGAGAACCCCACCCATCCCCTTATCCTGTCGGGATGTTGGTTTTCAAACTGTTTAAGCATCTGTTCGAGATCGGGTCTGCCGGTGCCTAACAGGACCAACTGGACATTCTGGCCTATCATCCAAGGAATCGCCTCGGCGATCAGATCGACACCTTTTTGTTGATCCAGTCTCCCTATAAAGCCGAGCAGTGGGACGTCGTCACGAACCGGAAGGCCTAGCTCCTTCTGTAAGGCGGCCTTGCATCGAGGTTTTCCGGTTTTCAATGTTTCCAAGGAGTAGTTAGCATAACCATCTGACTTGAGGTGGATATCGTACTCCGGATTCCAGTCAGTCGTATCGATTCCATTGACTATTCCCCTCAGTTTCCAGTCATTTTCGTTTATGATCCCATGCAAACCCCAACCACCTTCAGAAGTTTTAACCTCCCAAGCATATCCATGGCTAACAGTGACCACCCGGTCGGCTGCCTTTAGTCCAGCCGCAAAGATATTGCAGTGATCACCTCCTACCGGGTCGTATAACTTGAAAAGGTCGACGTAGTGTCCCGGTAGATCGATGTATTTGAAATCCTCCACAGGTCCCCGACCCTGGATTCAAGTTCATCATTTAGAAAACAGCTATGAAATACAAAGCATTGAAGCAAAAATATCGATGATCCTATTACTTTTTCCGCTAAAAGAGAGTGCAAGAGTTGATCAACACGACAAACCTGGTGAGCAATGTTATGGATAACAAGAACGGATCTTGTGAAGGACATCAAACCATTGTCCCGATAATACGCCTTCAAGTACACCGGCAACAAGGCGGTATGCCAATCATTAGCGATGAAAACCAGATTTCCATCTCCATAGCAGACACCCCCACACGGAACATACCATGGAACCTGGAAAAAGAAAGCCTTCACTTTAAGACATCGGTAAAGAAACTACGAAACCGAGACAGAGTAACTAAGCCTTCACTACCTCGACTGCTGCTTTGCAAAGCAATATCATGCGCTTCAAAATATCCTGCACCAAAAGACGGTTTCCGAGATCAAACCATTAACAAATCATAAAATATCCATAAGAAAAGATAATTCTACCACACGGTTTCCTCCGTATATGTAATTCTGCATATGGCGAAAAACGGCACTTTCCAGGAAAACAAAATCCACACCATCGATATAAGCGTGGCAGTAGGATACTTCCATATCCTGCAAATAACATAACATCAAGATCGTGCTGCCAAATAAGCCGATTATCTTTTAACAACCAAAGCTAAGAAACTCACAACAATACGAAATAGTATTCTGTCATACCTGACCATCTATCTTATACTTCCTTCGAACTCCGATATCTTGAGAGTCGGCATAATCAGAATATCGAGGTACCACAACCTAATGAAAAAGAGAGGTTGCTATGAGACAATTTAAGGTTCGGTAGGTATCTGTAGGTTCATCATTGGGGAACTAAGATAAAAATGATCTGCTTCAATTTAACATAAAAACTAGATATGAAATATTACCATAACCCTATGTCCACGTCGAGCCAACGCCTTCGGCAAAGAACCGGCAACGTCTCCGAGCCCACCTATGGTAGGAATATGTTAGTCTCCAATTACATATAAAAGGGAAAGTTAGCATGCCATCTACAAATCGAGAAAGGAGAAGAGACTGTCAGCTCGTGTTATATGTCAATGGTGCATTACCGGTTTTAGACCACGGAGCACATTCTGCAGCTACTAATATAACATTCATGACGTTTGCACCAGCTAGTGGCAGGGGGGTTTCATCTTCAACGGTGGAATCATCTACCTCAGCAGCCTCTTTCAGGACTGCTTCAGTCAAGTTTTCATTCTCTTCATCTGTAACATGGGCTTTGTCTGATGAACTTGAGAGATGAAGAGGAAGCGCATCAGACTTAAATGCTTTAGAATCATTGGTTTTCAACTGTTCGATAGAACCTATAGTAGAGGAAGCCTTTTCGGGGGGCAAATATAGTTCGGATTCCTCTCCAACTTCATCTGAAGGTAGGATCCCCGATACATTTGTTGTAGCTGAATCAACTCGACTGCCTGAAGGAATGCTACTGTTTTCGCCTTCATCCGCCCCGTCAGAGCTGCTAGAAGCAAGGTCTGGATCGGGAAGAGAGCTATCCCCCTGTTTATCAACATCTTCGTCTTCATCTCGGCCAGCAACACTACTTTTTATCAATGAAACCAATTTCCTTTGTTCTGCAATCTGCCATGGATACAGAAAAATGAATAACACAACTAAAATTCTGATTCTCACCGACAAAATCAGCAAGGGAATGTAGCTCTTGGATGACAATGTTTGAATATACATCATAAACATCACAAAATTCCTTGTTCATAAAGCTAATTGAAGCTTATCATGATTCCATGTGCTAAAAGGTTTCTATCACCAAAATTCAAACCAAGGTAGCAATATGAAGTTAAAGAGTTCAAAATGCCGACGAAACCAAGAAACAGACCGATATATGAACACCACAGAATCTTCATTTCCATCAACGAACGGAAATATACCCGATAGAATGCTTGTTAGAACATGAATATCCAAGTAATCCTACACTTCCATAGTAATTCAAAGGAGTTCAAAACCAGAAAAAGCCGATACTTATTACATGGCGGATGTACTCATACCCGATAGAATGCCTGTTAGAACATGAATATCCAAGTAATCCTACACTTCAGTAGCAATTCAAAGGACTTCAATAGCAGAAAAAAACCGATACTTATTCCAAATCGACATCGCGAACACGAGTAAATCGATATTTCATAGGACATATGAGAACAAATACCCTTAATAAATGCAACTCTGAAACCTAAAAGCATTTAGAGTGAAAAATTAGAATACAATTGGAATCCAATCTCCATGAAAGCTACAAAGAGACTTTGGCTATTACATGTGTACTAGTTTCTTGTTTATCTTTTCTTGCTGCAAAAGGTAAACAGTGAAACAAAGTCCCACGTTTCAATAAAGAACCAGAGGATGAAATCACAACCCAGAAAATAAACGGCCATCATAAACACAAAAGAAGCACATTTTTTAATCCAAAAGAAAAACAACCTTTACAATTAAGTACCTGCTGAAGTAGGTTTTTTTGCATTGCAAGAATCTTCTTGCTCTTCTCAACAGTATCCTGAAATGTATCATCTGAGCTATCACCATGACCAAGATCATCATCAGAACCAGCCACTCTAACAGGCTTAAATCTACAAATCAAGGAAACCCCACATTTTAAACCATCAAAAACAGGCAAAGTTTCGATCTTTCTTGACCTAAAACTTGAGAAAACAAAAGGTTTGCTTTTTCTATTCCTTTCGATCAAGAAAGGTGAGGAAGAACTGCCAATGGAAGCCATTTCCCAGAAAAGAAACTATTACTCAAAAATACCAAGAAATACCCTTCTTTTTTTCCCTTGTTTTTCTTTATTGAAATCTGTTGCAACAACAACATAATATGGAAAATTATTTATAGTGGAAAGGTACAGACTTTTACATCGACAAAATGGGCATTTTTACCCAAAAATAACTCTAAAAGTTAAAAATTACTTGTTAGACACTCTATCTTTAAATATTATCGATTTAACACCCTTTCTGACCAACCGTAGATCATGAGACGCTCCTTCACATGGTTTTGTCCGAGTTTGTGTCACTGTAGAAAAGAGTAGATAATGAAATACGCCTTTGTTGGGAATAAGACAGGTGCCAGAAGACGTGAATCAAAACCCAACCGTCCTAATTTAAATATCACCCAACCTCCCGTCCCCGTCCCCGTCCCCTATAAATACCCTCTCATCCAACCCTCGTACCATATAAAAAACATTCTCTTCATTCAATATATTGTTCTATCAAGTTTTAAGTAAGTATAATTATAGTTTTTATTAGCTAATTTTTTTATTGTATTATAATTATTTAATAGTTTATTATTTTATTATATCTTATTATACAAATTTTTATTAATTTTTGCAGTTATAAAATGACAGATGGTTAGATGACAATCATATATCGAGTCATTTTGTCGATACGGTAATAATTTTAAATTTTGTTATTTTATTTATTGTGAATGTTTTATTCAGTTATTTTTTAGTATTAGTTTATATTTTAATTTGTATAATATTTATTTAATTAGATTAATAAACGTATATTAAATCATTTATTCGTAACGTTAAATTAGAGATATTGAGTTTTGTCTGACTGTATTTAGCTGCGGGTGGATTTGGTGACATAACTAGATATGAAGGACATTGTAACCTTGAACCCAACCTTATTTTTACATTGATTGAGAGGTAGAGACCATAGACACACATATTTCATCTTTCATGTGGGGAGTGCACTATTACAATGGAGGATGTTTCCATACATTTTGGGCTTTCGGTAGATGGAGATGTTATTTCTGGTGTGGTGGATGGTGATTGACATTCCTTGTGTGATGAGTATCTTAGAGATATCCCGCCTAATTTCAACGGTGATCGAATACAGTTAGCATGGTTGACTACAAATTTTTTACAGTTAAAAGACGACTATTCTGAGGAGCAGGCAAAAATATTTTCTCAGGCTTGCATATTACAACTCATAGGAGGGATTTTGATGCCCGATAAATATCGTAACCAAGTTCATTGTATGTGATTGCGTCACCTTGCAGATTTTCGAGTTGTCAACTCATTCAGTTGGGGCTTCGCTATTTTGGCATATTTGTATAGAGAAATGCAACGAGCAATTGATTATCGAAAAATACTATCGACGAATGTCTCCTTTTTTTACAGTCATGGGCATGGTATTGCATGCCCTTTTTATGTCTGGTCGTGAAAAACTCGTTAGTTTTCCCGTTATTAATGAGGTAATTTTAATATTAAGTTCGTATATAAATAATTTTTTGTATAGAATGATTTTTTTATACTTAATAGGTGGTAATGTATAATGAAATATAATAGTGATATACCATAAAAATTAGAAGAAATTCGACTACTCATTGATCAAAAGATTGGTACAAAGATATGTATTTAAATTGTATTATTTACCTTTAATTATCATTATATAATTAAAATGTTATTTTGATAAGAATTATATATATTCGTTTTAGTTTCAATTGACTCCTTATTCTACTTAAGAAATGATGCATTACATCTCACCTCACTTGAGTGACCTATTAGATGTATGGATAGTAGTGGTTCATCTAATATGTTATGCTATTGTCGAGTGATATCCTATTGATCACATGCTCTGCCAATTTGGTTTTGTAAAATCTATTCCTGAAGCACCTAGGAATATCGACAATATGCATAACATCGATAGACGGGACAAAAAAGAAGTCATCTAGCTGTGAACTAGGAGGATCGACGTGGACACATTCCCCGTAAGGAGCCGATTTATGTGGATCATTATTCAGTTGCGCATGACTATTATCAGTGGTTCAAGACGAACAGGAAGTTGTTTCTACTTTTTGAGGAAGCATGAGGTAAGAGCATTTATCGGCGTCGAGAAAAGCATCCACCGTCACAACATCATCGTCCCCCGACTCATGGACGAAGAGCAAAGACTTTCGGCTCGTCCTCAATTACAGCACTAGAACCATCACATCAATAACCATCTACACTAGTTTACATTCTGCAACCATTGCAGATGGCACAACAACCGTTTCAGATGGCACCACAGTCGGGTCAGACGTCACCGTAGTCATTTTAGATGCCACCATAGCCATTTTAGATGCCACAACAGTCGGTTTAAATGCCACCGTAGCCATTTCAGATGCCACCGCCGCAGGGTTTTATGACACCTCCTTGTGGATATTATACTTTCATGTTTATAGATCTAGCGTAGGCTTCATATGATGCTTATTTTGCAGGTGATGCTGAACCATAAACAGAGAAACCACTGAATCAATTTTCACAGTCATCGATGTCAATGTTTTCGTAGTTTTTACAGTTTTCTATGAGCGATGAGATCCATAGTCCTTATTCTATGGAGGTGCTACATCACCATCCATCCCTCATCAACAAAATGTAGCTGCTACTGCTGATGATGTTGATGATGATGATGAGAGTGAGGAGTGAGGAGGAAGAGCAAGTTATACGAAGAAACCTTCATCAAAATAGACAACCACCGCCCTGTGGAACACATTTAAGACACATAAATAGATAGACTTGTTTAGTTTGTAATGTTTTTATTTAATTTTCTTTATTTATCAGCAAATGTAATGTTTTTATTTAATATGGACTTTTTATTTAATTTGTTTCTTAATGTTTTTATTATTTAATAGTTTGAATTGTATCGTTTGTATTTAATATTTCTATTTTATTGTTTTTATTGTTTTTATTATGTAGTTTGTAATGTTATTATTTAATTTTCACTTGAGTAGCCCATTACTTGGTGATGCTCAAATGACATTAATTGAAATTAAACGAAAATGAAATAACATAAACTGAGATTTCAGAAACAATAATTACATCATCAGATCATCAACAGTTACGTGATGATAAAAGAGATGACATTTTTTCTATTGTGGCCTAGGTTTCTACAATGTCTACATCTTTTGTTTTCTTTGGACATCTCTTGAATATCCATATCACAATAAATTCGAGTGGATTTTGGACGACCTACCTCCCTTAATAAGGACGAATTTGGTACAATTGGAAGCTAATTCTGAATCTCATATGGGTCTTTCTCATTACCTATGGGGGAACTCAAATTTATATACCTTGAATACTTCTAAAATTTGGTACACATGATTCACAAAACAGTTATAGTCTTGATGGGTATAAGAGCAATATGTATGACATGGGAGCATGTATACTTCAGAGCTTGAAAAAACCCATAGTCACACCACATGTTTGTAGATTAACTCTGAACGAGTTAGATTCAATCCCTTTAAGAGGTGTGACATTTCTGTGACATGAAATAATTTATGGGTTCGAGAGAAGCTTGTTACAAATAATATATTTGATGCATCAATTCTTTCTTGTAGATCTGCAACTAATCTTGGGTGATAACATGACCGTTTTGCATCCAAGTTTGAGCTTGTACCCCGAGCTTGGAAAAAAACACTCCCAAACTAAAATACATCATTTTAACCAAAGATGTTATTGGCAAATGGAGTGCCCCCTTTAAGGTCAAATTAATAACCTCAACCAAGTTGGTCGTCATGTGTCCATTTCAATATCAACCATCATATGCATTTGTCCAAATTTATTTGTTAATAGGGCTGATGTAATTATATCTTTGCTCGTTCTTTCCTTGCAAATCTTGAAACATGGACCCAAGCATTTGAAGTAATAGTTCATAACCTAGCGTTAAATGTAATACTTACTGTTAAGTTCCCATAAAAAATTAAAATGATTGAGAAATGAAATAAGGTATTGTGGCATACTCATGCACACAAATAATTGACGCTCATCATTCTTCTTAAACTTTCCATGATAGTTTACAACAATATGTTGGATATAACACCGATGTTAAACATAGGGTGGTTGCCACATTGGACCCAAAGATACCATTACTACTTTGATCCCATCTTCGCGATCTAAAATGACATATTTTTCCCTCGTAACAACATGTAAGCGTAATTGTTTGAGGAAAAAAGCCCAAGAGTTTGTATCTTCTCCTTCAACAAGGGCAAAAACAACTGGAAAAATGTTTCGATTACTATATTGGAAAACTGTCAATAGTAGAACTTGGTTGTATTTTTCATACAATAATGTCCTATCAATTTGAATCATGGGCTTACACTATTTCACAACATTAATGCAATGTGGGTAAGTCCAAAAAAGTTTGTAGAATTATCATTGATTGCAAAGAACTCGATTATTGTGGTATGCATGGCAAGTTTCAAAATCGACTATTGTCCCAGGATTCAGTCTTCGCACTACCCTAAATCAACTTGGTATTTCATTGTAAGATGAATCTTACTAGATATGAAGTTTTTTAATAGTATTCTTATTTGTCTTCCATGCTTTGTATAGGAGATGATATACTCATATTGAGACTGTATAGTTGAAATCAGTACCGCAATAGCTATATGAGAGCTTACTTTGATCATGGGCATGATGGTTTAGCAGATAATGTCGGAGTCCAAGTTGGGATGGTCCTGATTGATCCATCTAGCACAACATATATGAGGACTTTTGTATACTGTTAGTTTTCATATTTTATTTTTCCTTTTCCTCTTCGATACATGAATCATTCAGTTGCATCCGTTATCACATTAGACACAGTAGCATACATTCTTTTTGGTGGTAGATCGGTTAACTCTGGAGTGAACAAAATTACGAATATTGTAATTCTTAATTGCAATCATCACTTCTTCGTTGGATAAAAACTCTATTCTGATATATAACTCACTATCATTGACTGATGAGTTAAATATGTAGTCACCAACATTAGGTATATTCGTAAATTCTAGCTTGTACATTGCACCATAGTCAGCTTCATACATGTAAGCTTGGAGGTTCGGTGTAT